GGAAAGAACCAAAGGTGGGGAAAGGAGGATCAAGGTGATTTGGGGAAGAAAAAGAGTGAGAAAAGAGAGGGATAAGGGGATAAAAGAGGCTGGTTACATGTAATCAGGGGCCAGTCATAGCTGACCATGCCCCGTGCCTGATCAGTGCAGTCTGTCCTGTCTTCTCACGGAACTCCATTTATAACTTTTCCTGGGTGCGGGGCTTTCTCTGAGTGCATGTGTGTGCATGTGTATGCATGGAGGTCTACCTGCTGGTAGCTGGAGTTGGACCACAGATGACAGGGGCTGGCTACCAGTAAGGTCATCAGTCTGGACCAGCTACCGTGTTTGCATGTGTGTGTCTATGCATGAAGCAACATGAGGGGCAATTCTGCATCTTGCATGTCAAAAAACCAACATGATGATGAAGTGCTTCAACGTCCCTTGAATAAACAGTTCAAGTTCTCTTACAGTGATAGAAGAGTAGATTTTTTTGTTCTTCTCTACTGGGAAGGATATAATATAATCATCATGTACTTCTGCAATGCCTTACTGTGTCTATGCATATATAGTGCAGGCACACTCTGGGCTGGACTTACTCACCAGTGTATGCACAGCATTATATAGCATGTAACAGTCTGTCAGACACTGGCGTTGCTTCTCATTGCCTTTTGGGAAAGAAAAAACATCTTGTTTTACTGCTTTCAGATGTCAAGGCGAAGTTGTGTTGGCTCTGCTTAGAAACAGCATGTCCTCTTAAGTCTGTGCACTTGGTTGTGTAGCGATGAAAGAAGCCACATCTTGGCCTAAGTGACTAGTTCAGCAGTACAGATAGATAGACAAGATAGCAAGCAGCAGAATCACTATGGGACCTGGAGAACCATTTGCCATGGATGCCGTTTGGTATTTCAAGGAAATATTTTAGAAAGTAGAGTCTAATCTAAACCTGATTTAAGAGATATTTTTTTTTCCCTTCTAGTTGTACTCACTGCACAATATTAATTATGGTTGACTGGCAAGCTGAAATAAAAGGCCGTTTTTCATATTCTGTAAGTTTCTGCACGTCAGATACTTAACTAATGAAATCTGTGAGTACATGAGCTATTGATAGCTAATAAAAATTGTGAGTTCAGACATACAAGCAAGCCTTTCATTGCATGAAGCAGAGGCAGCATATGTTTTTTGGCTTGATTTTGTTCCTGTTTGAGAAGGATTGTGGCATGAAAAGTAACACTACCCACTTTACTTGCACTCTGAATCAGAGAGTGTGAATACATGCTTTTTGACTGTTTGTCTGAATGATGCAAATAAAGAAGCTTTCAGATAACATCTGGACACGAGGGTGCCGGTGATGGCACATATTGACAACAGAGTCCCTGAGACAAAACCGAGAATGGGGAGCTGTAATGCTGCAATGAATAACACAGAAAGCAGGATTTCTCTATTAGTCATTCAGGCAATGTCTAAAATTGCCAGAAAGTACCATGGTCTCAGGAACAGTGAAACTTTCTGTCTAAGGCAATGTTATAAAAGACTGAAAAGTGAGTTGTCTAATTACTGTAGCTGAGCAGCTGAACTAGTAGGGAGCTGTGGAGTATGGCTGATAAGCAGCTAATTAATAAACTAGAGACATCTTGCTCGTTAGTCCCTCAAAGTTCTGCAGAAGAGATCTGTGATGTCTTAAAAGGAGGATATGCAGATTGTGAAACCTCTGAATGCCTGGCATGGAGAAGTGAAGCGTGAAAGGAACTAATGATGCTGGTAGCATTTGGAGTGTGAGCGCACGCTGTCTGTGCATGTGAGGCAATTAAGGAACCGCAGCACCTCACGGGCAACAGACCGCAGAACGAATACAGCCTGTCTATGCATGGGTGTAGTGTACCCACACAGATACGAACCGAGTAATTGTGATTTAAGTTAACTGATGTGATTTCCTTTGCTGGGCTTAATTAACAACAGTTCAGCATTCTGTTTGCTGCTAGTTAAAATACAGATTGAGTAAAGGAATATGAGTGACTAATCGCAAAATGCGTCAAGTGACTGCTGGGAGATGCAGGTGCTGGAACAACTGGCATTAATATTGGCTAGTAGATACAGTACATGGGTATTTGGGGGATATCTAGGCAGGGTTGTGCCTGGGGATGTATCGGCAGTGACCAGAGGGAAAGGCAAATCCTAGAAGGAAGGCTGGGCTGACAACAATAGAAGCATCCTGGGGATCAAGGAAACCTGTGCCTCCTCCATTGCAGTTCACTGGGACTAGCAGTTAACATGTCACCTTCTTTTGGCCAGTGAGCAACCCAGGAGGTAAACAGTTTGACTAACAACAGCCAGTAAACTAGCTCCAAGTAGAGGGAAAAATAAAACTGCTGTACCCCAACTGTGACATAGCCTGCCCAAATCTTCGCTCTTCTTCCAGCTGATCATCAACAGTTTGTCTTGTTCTTTTTAAAAGGGTCTCTAGTACTTCATTTTGGCTTCTTCTAAGAGTATGGCTGTCATGTTCTTATTACTGGATCTTGTCTTTCTGTGTGTACTTGGACTTTTCCAATATACAGCTGTAGTCCTCTGTTATGCTTGTCCTAAAACTTGAGTGACTAGGGAAAAATCCTACGCATCAAAGTGTCTGAGCTCCATATTTTTCCATTATTATTCTTACAAGGTTACATTCTTCCTTCCCCTAATAAACTTTCCAAAAGGCACAGGCACTTTCAGTTTGTTTATTTGAAAACTTAAGGCATGCTTTAAATGGAATATTGCTGGCCGAAGTTGAGCTCCACTTCATTCTGTCTTCTCTTGCAGCTTCTCAGGAACTTATACTGCTGGTGCCAGATTAGTTAGAGGGCTCTGGCTACTACTGCTGCTAGCCACAAAAGCTGCAGTCCCTTCCCTGTGCTGCCTATGGCATCCTACAATGATTCCTGATTGGGTTTCTTTTTCCTAACCTGACAAGTACTGCAAGTTAGGTTTTGGAAAAGAGTAGTTTAACTCTGAGGCTAGCATCTGAGCTTTGACTCTATACCTAAGGTGTTAACCTTCTTTGATATGTTTCTGATAGTCCCTCTTTAGTATGAGGTTTATAATCCTGATTTATACCCCATTCTGATTTTCAATGTGAATTTAAAAGTCGGTGACCTGGACCTTCAGCCTTAAGCTTCACCTTGAAGAATCTTATAATTTCATTATATTGGTAGGAATCTGATACTGAGGCACTTAGCTATTCTAGTGAACACCTGAAGCCCTTCTGTGAAACTCCCTTTAAAATACTAAATCTGTCTGCAAGAAATGCTTAGTTCTGAGTCAACTGACTAGATGGTTCCTTCTCATCCATAAAACCTGTTTTCTGCTCTCTTGCTTCTAGCTGAACAACCTCACC